AATGCGTGCTTCTGACTCCGCAGAGAACGAAGCCGCTGCGCTTTCATCTGAGGTGGTATCGAACAGGGTAATGTTTCCAAGCTACAGCGCTGGACGTGAGAGCGGGTGGTGTGGGTCGGGTGCGCACCTACCTGATCACCTACACCTAAGACTTTGCCAGTGATATCTAGGTCAAACTTGAGCTTTTGATTGGTTGACACTTTTCTGGCTGCAGGCATAGACGGAGATGCCTCGACGGTCTGTCGAGTATAGATGTGGACAGGATTATTGACGTCACCTCGCAGATCCCATGCATAGATGGCTTCATGGCATCTGAAGGAAGCATAGAGCAGATATGGTCTGGCAGGATTGAACATCAACTTGAATGCAGATTGAGCTGTAGTATCCAATCGGGATGGATCGGTGACAGTCACCTGCATTACGCCTGCCCGGATGCCGGACGGTGCCCCGTGGGAGAGATTCTCCGCTCCTACAAACATTATGGGTGCTTCTCCCGTAGCTTCCGAGAATAACGCTATGTTGGACGTAGAAGGGGCAGATGGACTCAGTGATCCTGCGGCATAGACACCCGAATCGACGTCGGCAGAAAATGCTAGAGCGGATATTATGCCTTGGGGGTCATCAGGTCAGGAGCTCAGCCACCAACGCAGTGACGTACCCTTCAGCCCATCTTTGCTTTTCTTCGAGGGCGTGACGTGCAGGCGTGTTCCTTCTCCGGGCCGTTGGACATCAAAAACTTCGATCGCGTCTTCGAATCCACAGTAGAATCTGATATGAACAGCTTTGAATAAGCATCTCCAATGGGGAGGATCAAGTCCGATATTCACTTATCAGCAGTTGCATTAAACGCTATGCTATGAGGTGCAATTTGGCGCTCTCTGTGGTCGACGATTCGATAGGATGCGCGTAGCTAGACATGTCATAAAATTGCATGGGAACGACGCTATCGCATAGGAGGTATGATGAACTCACTCTACCGTCATTGGCGTCCAGGAGCTTCACAGGACACTCACGTACAGAGGCAAGAAAACAAAAAGCAGCTGGATTGCCACGACTGGCAGAAGGATACCACGCAAAGTCCAGTATAGGACCTTGTTGTTTGAAAACACGACCATGTGTCGCAGAATATGGTGCGGACGCTTCGAAAGATGCGCAGTATTTTGCTGGTCTTCGATGGAGTGTCCGAGTCAGCTGTGCAGACTTGACGAGGTGTCGATAACTTGTTCTGGCTTACATATCTGGCATGAATAAAGTGCGATCTTCGCACTGGGCAAGTACGGCAGACCCGTCAGGACACCTGCAACCATGGAATTGTTATCTTCGCCATTCCAGGCCCGGTCTGCATGTATAGGAGGTTACATACCACTTTGCGCTTCGAGCGAAGTTGTAGGGTACTGTGTCATCTTGCGGTACAGTGCAGTCCCAAATCAGAGCTGGGTTTTTGGAACAGTCGTAGAGAGGCGGCACCCATGCCATGTCAGGAGCCGTTTCTGGCAGGCCACTGGTTCAGACCTATGCGACTCCGCAGATCACTTTGTTGCGATTCACTTACCATTCATGGCCCAGCTAGGAGTCGTCAAGATTTACCCGCGTGTTAGTATTTTTCAACTGGATGATGATCCACTCACGTAAACGACAGGTCTGAGTTGGGCGAACTTCAACTAGCACCCGACAGCTTGGTTGCGCGCCACCTTGGCGCCACCGCACAACAACTCACTTGCCTAATATGGAAGTGTCTCCCTCGGACCTTGCCGTCAGGACAGAATTGCCAGTCACTCGCCAGTCGCAGACCAAGTTCGACCGTCATCTCAGTGACTGAGTGCGAGTATATCACCATTAAAATGTCCTCACAACGGGGGTTTTCCCGTATACATACGGACTCATCAGTACGTGTTGATGACTATCAGCGTTACCGAAGACATTCAATGCCAGTCCATGTCAGTGTTTCAAGTAACCCATAGTAGATGAGACGGGAGCACCACGTCAGGTCCGACAATTTGCTGGTCTAGGTGCGGTGACCATCGATCTTCGCAGGACTCATATGTTTATCCGCGAGAAGTCCTTGAAGATTTTAGACAGTGACTGCAATTCTGTCAAGGCTACATCGTACACGATTTGTGGGGAGTCTTTCAATTCACCGTTAGCTCGGGTTCGGGTCTTCATTGACGGAGCGCTCACAGAAAGCGCATCAGAACATCGGCATATAGTGCCACATTGAGTCGAACAGTACTCCACGCATCTTCAGGCTGTTACCACCAGATGTTCCGAAGGCATGCAATCGATGCACGCAATAGGAAAGTCAGGCAGCCTCAGCACAGAACCAGTACGTCCCTAACTTGGAAAGGTGTGCCGGATGCTGGACCTTGAGAAATGGACAAGGAATAGCCGTGTTATTCGCTTGCCGGATGCTTCTTACGCAAACGCGCATAATCGAACTCTGCGTCACGCCGCTCGGGCTTGTTGCCAAGTCGTTCGCTTTTCTATCCCTGCCGCGGCCGGGACCGTCCATCCTTCCCATAGCCTAGTTCGATTTGTGGTCTCATGGCCAATATAACAAGCGAGCATCTTCGAATTCGGCGGGCAGCACGAGAAGCCAGACAGGCTCCACAGCCATGATGAACACCACCGGGCTTGGACACAATGGCAAATTCTGTCAAAGGACTCCCTGGCCGCTCGATGATCCGTCTCACCAGCCTAAATTTGCACATCGAAAGGAGTGCTGAGTGACTCGTAGGTATTTCGCCAATGGTAATGGTTGACCCATTTAGCATGTCTGAATGGCATCACCCCCAGGCCACGGCTGCATTGATAGAACCTCTGGCGTGAAAGTTGTCATGGGTCTCGACGTTAATTTCCTGGTGTCCAGCGCTGAAGCAATATATAGGAACCTGTTCCTGATCCGAGCGAAATGAGCCCCTCAAGGCGGCCGGCTGTCACATCAGCACCTCAGGGCGACGACCAGCAACGCGGCCAGAGCGCGACCGCCACTCTGCATTCTTCTACACGCTCCAGCATTGCATACCCATCTTGCCATTGGCCCGACCTCTCTCATATGTCCGCCGCGCCTGCGAACTCCCGGAATAACAAGCCGATGATCGTCAGGGTGAGTTGCCCGCGTTGCCCGCGTTCGGAGAAAAGGTAAAGCAAAGTTGCCATGTTGGCATGTCCATGGCGGAGTCATTTTTCCCGATGGTCGTACACCGACGCTGACGTGATATTTGCATCGGTCAATCGACTATGATACAGGCACTAAATGTACACGTTTCGGGAATGCTAGTGCCGGTCAGCTAGACCATTTTATCAGGACAATACAGCCGTGGCACGAATGACTTCGCAGGTCATGCAAGGTCAAGAACGCTCCAACATCCCCCTGACATCTCGTATTCATGCAGTCACCACTCGGAACATCGACGGAAGCAGTTCGACGACACATCACTGGGACACTGAGCAGCGGTGCCATTCGGGGCCCAGCGCGTTGTGAAAAATTCCTGACGTCTGGAACCATGAGGCGGTTAGTCTCCAGTACGTGTCTGGTAGCGACGAAGGTAGTATGTGTGTCACGGTGTGCATGACAAAGGCTCAACACTCGAGCCTAATCAAGGGCAACTACCTGATGCTCGCTCTTGGCGCCAACTTACCGGTACACCATTGCGGGGCTCCCCACTGAGTCCGCTATACCAGTGGTACGTGTGCCATGTTTTTGACCGCTGCTTCAGCTCTCCTGACCAACCCGACGCAGAACACTCGCTACGGCCCGACCAGGTCATACTGCTAAACTTACCAGCCAACCGCGACCTACCGAGGTCCCTCTCATTCCCAGCGCTCTCGGGATAGAATGAATAACCATGCACGTCCCGAGAAACACATTGTGGTATCCGGACAGTCGTGCGATCTCTGGGTCAAGAATGAACGCACTGCCTGTCGCAATCTCCAGAAAAAAGCAGCGTCCGCCAATTTCTCGGCCTGCAGCACGACTCGCGTGTAGTATATCGCAGATTCGCCGTCTGATGCTATTTTGAACGCAAGAACCTCGGGATGTTCCATGTAGGCCAGTATAGTGAAGTCCGACAGACCACTAGGCTATGGACACAGTTCGGATGCCTGGGCCGGGGACAGACGATGTGCACGTCTGCCTGGTCGATGTAATACGCTGTTTATAGTGTGCCAGCAAACTCGGTGCGGTATCACTGTAACGCCGCGCTTTCAAGCTCAAGTCGCCGTGCACACACATTAGGACTGACAACACTCCAACCTTGATGCACAGGCCCGCAAACAGCCTCGCTTACTTTGTCCACAACATACATGCGTTCCGCTGCTCAGTAGTGCTCAGTACTCAAGTGTCCGTGAGTCAAAGTAGTGTGTCAAGTCGCGAAGCCTGTAATTCTAAAATAAAGCGCTGACCGCCCGCAATATCTTGAATGGAATCAACGACAAGCTCTGCGACGTGCTACGTATACGATTCCAATGTCAACCTCACGCAAATCTCGTACTTACCTGTCAATAGTAAACACACCCGCGAAAGGGAGGAGGAGGCTCAAAGGATGCTCGTCGACCTCGATTACTACACACCACGATGCCAAACTCGCATTGAACAAAAGCCATCCATTCAGCAAGCGACGAGCATCCCTACTCGTATCGAGTGCACACGAAACTTGCACGAAACCCACGAAACCCCTGCACACACGAAACCCCTGCACACATAAAAAGCAGTCCACAAATCCATTGTAGAGTCGTACAAAACAAATAAATACAGCAAGTACTGGCCCAATCCTCCACGTCAAAGAACGCCCTCAGATCCACGAAGCCCGTCCCTTTGAATGTAACAAGGTAAAGTGCCGAACGAGCGATGTCAACGCCGACACGTCCGAAGACGGTCGTGCTCATTTCGCTGCTGAAAGTCTCATCATGGGCGTTTATGATCGTGGAAGGATATGGGGAGCAAAATGCGCGGTGGCAGGAATTTATATGGGGAGGAGGCGTGAGAAGAGAGCGGACATTGCCGTGTCCGTTACACTGTACACAGTACAGCGCAGCCACAGCCTGACGAGGTCGACTACACATTCGCGACCACGGCGTGCTCCTGGCAGTGCATCCTCGCAGAGAGTCGACGCAAACACGGCGTGCCACAGCAAGACTCGAATTGCTTGATAGATCCATCCACTTGCCCGCCAACGACGTTGGGCGCATGTCCGATGTCGACGATGATACTCTCATCCACCTCTTCAGCTTTCTGCCCGTACGCTCTATCCTCGCGATGAGGCAGGTGTGTCGCGCGCACCTTCCCATCCCACGGTCTATGGCCGAGTGACACCGCCCCGGCAGACGTGCAGGCGCATACAGCTCATGTCGCGCACCCGCATCGTCTGGCGCAACGCGTACATTGCCCAGGTGCTCTTCGCCGGGTATCCCTTCCCCCGCCGGGAGCTCGCCAGCATGGACACGGCGCAGCTCGAACACGCCGTCCGACGCGCGATACGGATCGGTGCGTTTTGGCGGTCGCCGGAGGTGCCGCTGAGGGAGGCGAGCGAGTTCCATGCGAGCTTCGGGACGGGGGTCACGGACGTGCGGTTCTTGCCTGGGCACGACGGACGACGGCTTGCGACGCTGTCTAAAGGGATCTGGTCGGTCATCACTTGCTGGGAGACTTCAGTTGGGGGCGCTGGCGTGCGGATAATTGCGAAGTGGTCACCCAAGAGTACGATCATCACAGGGTTGGTGGTGAATTCAGATGCGGGGTCAGACGCGCTCATCGCGACTTCGACTCACGGAGAGTGTGTATATCCATTCGCGTGTGATATATACGCTTGTGCTGATTCTCTCGCGACAGGCGGCAGCGCATCGAGTTACTGTCACTTGCGAAGGACGCAAAAGGCAGCGATACCTTGCAGTCCCTGGGTGTGATCGACGCTGCTATGAGGCCTATTGCGCTGCAGGGCGACCTATTGGCGTACGGCGACGAATCATCTCAGACAGTTATCACCAATTGGAGAACGGGTGAAATAGCACACCTGCAAGGTGCCGACGAACCTGTCGACCTGAACTTCCAGGCAAGTGAGAGTGAGGGGTGCCGCCCTGTCTCACTCAATGTGGCGCGTTCGCTGACGCGTATTCGGCGGGCAGTACAACCGGTACCTTCAAGTCGTGTTCGCACACAAGAGCATCCTGGTGGTGCGCGCGCGGTCCATTGAGCTGTTCCCAGAGCCTGTCCTGCGACCTCCCCACGAGCCGTGTCCGAGTTATCGTCCGCTCGCTCGTTATTCCTTCGGCTGGATCGACGGCGTCAGCGTGAACGTGCAGACGCGCGGGCAAGATGTAGACAGTGCTGTCAAGCCGCTCTCCATCCTCCTGCGCGCGGAGAGCGACGACCCTTGGATGTCCGACACGCACATGCTCGACCTCTTCGTGCTCGAGCCGAACCCGGCGTACACAGCGGACGACCCGCCACAAGACCCGGCCACGGACACTACCGAAGACCCCACCACGTCTGCAGGCCCCGGCGAGGACCACGCCCGCCATCCCCTTGCTCCCTACATCTTTCCGCCTGTCCACTCGGGCCTCTCCTCGCCATCCGTGCGCGGCATCCTGCGCTGCACGGACATCGTCCTCGGGCCGCACGGCACCGCCGTGTGGATAATGCCGCGCGGGGCGCGGAGCGCCGACCTCACCGCGCTGGACGTGCACCAGTCGGAGGTAGCGGGTGCGGGGCTGACTGCACAGCAGCCGGAGGTGCTTGCGGGCGCGATGTTCGCGGGGCCGATGCTCGGTGCGGAAGGCGGGGACGGGGGCGAGGGCGAGGATGGGGAGAGGGGGAGCGGTGTGAGGGCGCGGACGGTGTATGTGCGCCGGGCGGCGAGCGGGAGTGCGGGGAATTGGACGGCGATGGACTATGTGGAGGAGCTGGGCGTGGTGGCGTTGGCGTCGTCGCAGGGGATGGTTACTGTGTTGGAACTTGGCTGATCCTCCTGACAGTCAAAATGAATATATATTTGTACCCGTGCTCGTCTCGTGCGCGTGCCCCTCGACATATAACTTGGCTACAGCGTTTCCAGCATCCTCCCAGTTCCACATAACTTATGCGCACACCAAGTCCTCCTCAGTCGTAAACGCCTGCCTCTGATTGGCTCCCACGCCCGCACCCGGGTCCGGCAACGCGCGGCCGGGCTCGGGCGTTGCCGCTCGCCCAACGCGACTCTTTCCGTGCCCCTCGTCACCGCTGTCCCCATTTCGTTCGCGCAATCTGCGTTTCTATCTTGCCATGAGCAGCCTGTCGTCGTTCTTCTCGTCGTTCCTGCCCGTCGCGCACGCGGACGCGCCGCCCCCGGAGGTGGAGGCGCATAAGGAGGAGGCGACGCCTGACGAGCCGGAGGAGGGCGCGGAGGAGGGGGGTGAGGCCGAGGCCGAGGAGGAGGAGGAGGAGCCGGAGGACGTGCGTTGGTTGTTATTTCTTATTCTGGGTGGACGCCGTGGCTGAGCGGGCTGGGGGTTGGTAGATCCTGCCTGCGCTCCGCGAAGAGTGCGAGGAGTCGGCGAAGTGCAAGTCGGCGACGGAGCACTTCCGGCACTGCGAGGAGAGGGTCAGCTCCGGCAACGGCCACAAGCACGAGGACTGCATCGAGGAATTGTGCGTCGATTTGTTTTTTCCTGATCTGTCGTGTGTGCTGAGCGCTGAGGGTTTCTTGCGTGCAGCTGTGCGTATGTTGTCATTTTGTTTGGGCTACCCGCTGACCTGCCACGAACGCCTGTCTTTCGCCCGGATAGACCAGTGAGTCTTCTTTCGTCATGTGTTATCGTGTTCCGGACTGATCTGGTCCGTTCAAGCATGATGCACTGCGTCGACGTACGTCCCTACGGCCCGACAGCTGCATGTGCGTGAGCTGACTCGTCTTTTTTCCAGGGCTGCGTCGCGCCCAAGCTGTTCGCGAAGCTCAAGTAGAGGCCGCACCTCCACGCACAGACGTAGTCTTAGAGCTAGGTGCGCCCCGGCCTCCTCCGTCATCTGCGCTTCCTCTGACCTCGCATTTGTGCCAGATTATGGCACGCAGTGTGGTAGGACGACATGTCTGGACGGACTGACGCGACTATGCCGCTCCGAAAATTATAATTGGTTTTCATCAACTCTGCGTCTTCAAGTCGTCGGGTGTATGCTTAAGCATGCTCGCCGAAGGTAGCGGTGAGGTGCAGATCATGTGAGTGTCGTGGCGTCGTGTCCGGGCGAGTGTGCCTATCTATACGCTTCGAAAGCCGACCTTCGGTGCTGATGCCTCCAAGTACATGTGGTACTACGATTGACAGTACTCGCCGCGGTGTCTTCTGATGTCTTCCGCAGATCCGTCTGTGCCTGTGCTGTATCTTGACATGGTACTGTGAGGGCACCCTAGAAGCGGCCCCCCCTTTGTCTTCCTAGTCTGCACCCTCACTGCAGCGACATGCCAAGGAGCGAGACTTTCCCTCTTCTGCGGGGTTTGTTTTTTAATCTCTGCGCTTGCTGTCCACTGATTTTTGACAGTACGAAGCAAGTACGGAGCCTACTCCTCCGCGTGCGTGGGTGACAGTAGCGGTACCTTCGGGACCGGCCGAGCCGCCTTCGTAGTATGAAATTGCAAGTGCTAAGTTTGTCACACAGCGGCGTTCACTGGCCACTTTCTACTTTGAGAGAGGCGTAGCCCGGCAACATGCCAACCGAGAGCCGTCAATGCATCCAATGGCGTCTGGTGATGCCTGAGCGAGACAACGTCCGTGAGCTTGACAGACAGCACCTTCCCAACGAGGCAAGCTGCCTTCCGCATTCGTCCAAGTTGTGGTTCCTCCGTTTATGCATTTCCGATGGAACGGCGATCACGCCGACACTGTGGCTGGTGGCCGTGGTCTCGGTGTGCGAGCGATGTTTCCTCTGGGGCAGGTCCGCGGGTGAATGAAGCTCCCGGGCGTGTTCGACTGATTCTACGATACTTCGCAACCTGTCAGACGTCAAATGCGGTTGCGGGTATATAAGATGATGTGCACAGAGCACCTTCCTTGTCCCCCACCACGACGTCCTCGCTCTGCCTGGACTCTGCCTGGACGAGCTCCCGAAAACTTGCCTTGTCAGCCTGCGTCGATCGGCTTGCTTCGAATAGGACTGAACCTGGATTGAACACTTCTTTGCCCGCAGCATAGAAAGTAGATGTTGGAGAGGTGAGTTGAAACACCTTGTGTGTATGTTTCCAAGGCTAAGAGATGCAGCACGGTGCCCAAACCTCTGATTTCTGACAACAGTTGTCAGTGCACGACCTCATTGCACGACCTCATTTCACATTCGAAGACGAGACGCACTGAGTCGCCGTGGACGCGAACCGGCAAGGGCCGGATCACGAGGAGGATCCGGCGGCACGGACGACTGGGCGGGTACTCATGGGAAGGCCAGGCAGAGCTGGCCGCGTTCTTATACCATCTGGACCACAACCACGCCCGGACGCCCTGCCCCCGCCTGCTGCCTCCTCGCCCATATAAGTCCTCCTCGTTCTCCTGCGTTTGTGGGTGTTTCACAGAGCCCACATGTGTACGTCTGCATTGACCACCATGTTCGCATCTCACGCAGCAGCAACTGGAAGCTGTGGGGAACGCGGTGGAAACCAGCGTTCAACGTCCAGCGTTCGCGTGCGGTCGCTTTTACTCATCGCCTGGTCCGACGTTCACCCGGCGTGTTACGAGGCTGCGAGATCGCTCACACAGCGTCGGGCTATATCCCTCGTCACTTGCCCTCCAGCAGCCTTGCCTCCTTGATCCTCACCTCCTATCGTGGTCGTTGATCCTTCCCCCTCCGGTGCCGCACTACCATGAGCGTCTTCAACCCAAAAATCATCGACGCATGCATCCGAGATGTCACCGCAAGTCTCTCAGACGAACAGAAGGCAGATGTGCTTCTATACGCCATGGGACATCTTCCCTCTGAGCGGTTGGTCTAGCGGGTCTAGTAATTTGTAGTTGCCTCATCGCTGATTTCTATTCGCCCCTGCCCGCCAGCTCTAGAATGCTCATCGAGAACGCAGTCCAGTCCTGCCTCTTGCTGAGCGGGCTGTCCACCGCCAATGCTGCCAAAGCCCGCTTGATACGCGCCAGGGCTAGGCTTGCTGCCGGACTTCATGTCGGCGCCCACCAAGGTCGGCATGGCATCTGGTCCATTCTAGACGGTCGTTTCGGCTTACCACGCGCCTTCCCGGCGTCCCCCGCAGACCTCCAGGCTGTCATGGCCATCGAGCCTGAACACCCAGAAGCTAAGGCGCTTATGGTCCATCATGTCACGAATTCGGGCAAGGTGCGTCGGTCCCCTTTTCCTCATCCCTCCATGTAACCGTGAATGCCGTCCACGGGTCGAATGCTAACGATGGGTGATTCTTCCGGTGCCCAGTCGTTGGTCCAGCCGCATACGACCCCGGGCTTCTCAACTGAAATATGGCGGGAGATTGCACGATGGCTCCCGCCACGCGATCTCAAAAACCTTCTCCTCGTACCGCACATTTTGTCACGCATCGCAAGCGAGCTCTTGTTTCGAAAGATCGATCTGTTTTTCGGTGAGCTCGACGAGGCTGGGCGGCGGGGTCGTGTTAATTGTCTCTCTCAGTATCGGATAAGAGGGAGTCGCAGAAGAGCGCCGACATCCTGACACGTATCATCGTCGACAAGGAGTTTGCGAAGCATGTCAAGACGTTGCGGGTGTTCTACCAGGGGCGCGATGTATCGCCGATGACTTTCCAGACGGGTGAGCGAGTCGATGGTGTCGTGCAGTCTGGGGTGACTCAGGCGTCCCAGGCATGCTGGCGAACGCATTACCAAAATTGTCCAACCTGAAGAACGTCCACTGTTCAATGCGCCTGCGCGAGATGCTCGCCTTCCTGCGCATCCTCGAAGGCGCGAATCACCGGTTACGTGGGATGTCTCTAATGTGGGTCCACTCCATATGAAATAGGAACCCGCGCGAACGTTTATAACCTCGTCCGTATCCGTACAGGCCGCTCGACGGGACCGCGGAGCTGCAGTTCCCACGCTTCCGGCACATCACGCAGTTCTCGTACGTCTCGACGGGGGGCAACCCGGCGGACGTGCAGGAGTTCCTCATGCAGAACAAGGCGTCCATCCGCTCGATCTTCCTGCACAACCAGCACTGGACGTTCCCCACGGAGACGCTCTCGATCCGCAACCTGACGCACCTCGACTTCCTCGGCCTCTTCCCGGCCGAGTCGCGCGCGTTCTCGGACATCCTGAGCAACGGGCACCAGCTGGAGTCCCTGCGCCTGCAGTGCGTGCTCAACTGCAACGCGTCCGCGCAGTTCCGCGAGGGCGCCACGGCGCGCGCGCTCCCGTTCCTCCGCCACTTCGAGTTCAGCCTCCTCGGGTACAACGTGAACGACCACGACCTCTTCCCCGCGATCTCCGCGTTCCTGCGCGACCGCCGGACGCTCAAGACGCTCGTGCTGTCGGTGCCGAGCGCGAACTGGGCGCAGAAGCGGCTGGGGTACGACGCGGGCGTGTGGGGCGTGCTCCCGAGCCTGACGGAGCTGAGGACGCTGACGGCGACGCTCCCGAAGGACGTCGCTGCGGCGGTGGCGATGTGGCTCGTGCCCCGCGGCGTCATCGCGCTCTCGCTGCAGGCGGAGTCGTCCACGGAAGCGCTCGGGTTCGTCTCGGTACGCTCCTTCGCCTCTCCCCTGACCGCGACCGCGCTGACGTGCTCTCCTCCTCATTTGTTCCTTGCCCTCGTCCTGTGCGCTGCAGCAAATGCGCCCGGGCCTCCCGCCGAACCTGCAGTTCATCGGGCTCACGCAGTTCGACGTCGCGGACGCCGCGGCGGTGGTCGACGCGGGGTTCCCGACGGTGCGCGTCGCGCGCGTGGACGACGACTATTATACCGTCGAGCGCGAGGACGGCCGGGTGCGGCTGCAGGCGTGGCCGGAGGCGCGGGGGCACTGGAACGTGCGGGAGTGGCTGCAGTCGTATGGGTGCGAGGACGCGGAGTGGAGGCATCCGAGCGAGTTTCTGTAGGGAGGGGGTGGGTGACGGCCCGGCTGGGTGAGTCGCGAGTCATGAGTTGGATGGGTGCGTTTCGTCGTGCTGTGTGGGCCCGAAGGTGTTGCGTGCGACGCAGCAACTGGGCATGCTCGAGTTGGCATGGTCTACATTGTCTGTTCCGGTTGATTGGAATGGAGTTCTACATGACGGTTCGCATCTGGGACAGACTTCAACGAGGTCGGCACGAGATGGGCGAGCCGAGGGGGTGTCTGTCGTACACTGGTCTGCTTGTGGGTTCGAGTTATGGTAGCATAGATGTGACATCTCTGGATGCCTGGAAGGAATACACGTCCACGATAATTCTGGATATGCGTCTGTCCGTACTGGGTCTGAGCGCACTGTGAATTTTGTTGTATGGAACTTCGATCCGGTGGTATGCCCTCTACCTCCACCTGGTCGCTTGCGCCGCTTGGTGGAGAGTCGCCAGAGACGTTAGCGCCATTGGCATGTGAGTAAGTAACGTGGTTCACATCGACAAGTACGTCTTACATAATTTATATACAGACTCTAGTTCCACCTCAACGCGGTGGAACATTTTGTGACGGTGAAGCTGAGGCCTCAGTCGCATTCATTGGCATACAACACCGCGCATTCCCAATTCGCAGCACGCGAGCTTCAAGCCATCCATCCGCGAGATGCCTACATCCCGGGCGCATGCATCCAGGCTGGCGCAGTCGCGCCACGCCGATATCTTCATATGGTGGCCTTCGACCCCTCTGTCCGAACTGATAGCCTGTATGTTCCCGTGCCGACGTGTTGCGAACGTCTTACTGCCTCCCGCTAATTCAGGCTTCAATTCGAGCGTTGTCGGTCCCGTCACAGCGGGCACTCTTCTCCGTTGGGTCAATATGCTCGCCGGTCTTGGTGGCGCGAGCGTCATGCAAGTGGGCCGCGTGTCGTTGCGCCGGATGGCCCCGTTCCAGTACTACCCCGACCCGTTGGAGGCTGTCTCGTCCTCTGAGGCTCTGGAGACTGGAGATTATGGCTGTTTCTACTTGGGTAGGTAGCGCACGCACATGATTTCCGTGTACCGAGGTCTCAGCTGAGGTGTCCTACCCTGCGTAGATCGAGGGTCGTTCATCGTCCGGCGGCTTCCCTTTAATGGCTCTTACCACGTCGTGTCATTGGAGACGAGGAAGATCGCGTTCGAGGCCACGCGAACGCCTGGTGGCCTCGAGAGCTTAGCGCGGGTGAGCTTTTGGTGTCCGTTCCCATCTGTTGTTCCCCATTGACTTCGGACGCCTGTGTTACATAGTACGACATACCGGCTCCTTTTCGCGACGAGGTCTCCAAGCGTGATGGCGTCAAGTGTATATTCACAAGATATACGGCTATGGATAACGACCCTGTGGACGTGCATTGGATATACCCTCCAGGGATGGCACGCTACGTGCGTATATTAGTCCAACGTCACTGGGTTGCGTAGTATTGACCACGGTTTCAGATCACAACGCTCAGCGCGGAAAGGCCGTTCTTCCCGCGAACCGAAGGTTTCCAAAATCCTGACAACCTCATGAGCGTGCGGGATGACATCTATAAATTGTGGCACGTGAATGCATTCAGCGTCGACGTTGATGTCAGTTGATGAATGCCTCGTCGGTACCCATATGCTAACCACGGCTCCCATGCTGGCATCTCCAGGACGGGAATCGAATTCGCATCTTCGACGAAACAGCGAAGCACGCCGGCCTACCTGCTCATCTTGAAGTAAATCCGAAAGGTTCTGCCTCACACAACTTCTTCCGCGAGCATTTCCGCCACACGTTATGTGTTCACTTCATTGGCGGCGACATTCAGACCGACTACGACCCTCAAACGGTCAATTCATATCTTGTGGAGAACGGTCTTGACGAGGAGGGTACTCTCGATGACTTTGATCCCTCCGATGAGATATTCCAAACGATCATTGGGAGAGAAGTCCTGGAGTGCGTGATTGCGGAAAAGCTGAGGCGACGATGTGAGGATACGGACGATACGGACGATGGATACTACTTTGAGTAGTATTAAAGCGTTGGATATCTGTAATAGTACACTTTTCTGTATCAGGAACATCCAGCCCGATAGACAGACATGTTCTAGAAACCGACAGTCCCAAGGATACACCGTAGTTGAGTTCAGGCTCCAGAATAGACATGAATCAAGATATATGGATCAGTGTGTCGAGGCCGTTCAAACCACTCGTAAGAACACACAGGCGATGTAGAGGGGAACGCACTCGAGGTGCTGCAGACCCTCTGAGGAACAAGGCCGAAGCATCCGGTATTTGATCGTCTTCGCATGATACAGGTAGGTGAGGTAGCGACGAGCTCCGAAAAATGTTACTTGTGATCGCTATCACAACTTGAAGACTAAGGTGTCAGCAGAGAGACATGTCAGAGATTAAGAAGACGAACCAATTGAGTATATGCACGACGTGTGAGATGCATGTGCCTGACGATGATGATGCATGACTTGAGAGGTCTTGATTCAGGATGTCTGGACGAACATGAAGTAGCCGTGATCAAGGTGTTGACAAAAGTAAAGACAGTCACTTGAGCAATTGTGCGGATAACGACAGGTGAAAAAGTGTACCTGTCCAGACATCTTAAGTAAGAGATAGTAGATGAATGCACGAACCAAGATCCAGATAATTGAGAAGGACCGAGAGTATTTGCAAATGCGTCCATTTGCTTGTTGACCATTGCTAGTTCATGAACCGTGAGCGTTATGAGGGCTCACGGTCCATGAACTAGCAACGGTCAGCTGAGCCTCTACTGCCCCCGCCCGTCCGTATGTGGACTTCAAGCGAGAGCCATCGCCTGTCAGAGCACCCTGAACAGCGCCTGAAAGGGATCAGCGACGATCTCGGCATCGCGCAGACAGCGCACGCACCTCTCCCTGTTCCAGCGCATCGAACCGCGTCAAAGAGTCAGATTCAGGGATGGACTGCAGGGGCCCGGGCGTCCCTTCGGTGTTGGAGAGGCGAGCATGTTGAGTACCTTAGCACGCGCGGCCGCGACGTACTTCCTTGGCACGCCCGGAGCTGGCGTGCTCTAGTGCTGAAATACAGAGCGAGGAGCCATCTGTACGTCAATCATTGGCGCGGCAGCCTGGGGAACATAGCTGCTAGTGGTGCTGGGAGTGGCCAGAGGCTGCCGCCGGTATGTCCAGTGGAGGGGGACGCTGGCGCCAACTGGGACGACCTTGTCCGGAGTCGCCATGTCCGGATCCATGTCCATGTCGACTAGAGTAACGTCCAGATCGGGCGCAGAGCGGAGAGAGGTCATTTCCACACACATCGACTCCATCGCATCGATCATTCCAGGCTGACTAGAGTCTTCGTCGCAGACCATATCGACCGAAACAGCACCAGAAACGGGACCAGAACCCTCGTGCGCCAAGAGGACCGCGAATTCCGAGATTAAAGCTACCATATCGCGTTCGTCGTGCTTGAAGGCGCAGAAGATGGAGGCCCCTAGCTGCGAGGTGCGCCATCATGACAGGGCCCAGAGGACCGTACGCATCGTCGATCGCCCGTTGCAGAATGCCGAGGTCCTGACGCACGCTCTTGGGGTGAGCCTCTGAGGTAGCGAGGGTGCACTGAGTGGAGGTGAGTTTAGTAGCAGTCGCGTCTGAGTGCTTGTAGTGGATGCAGCGGAGGGCGCGTGCGTGCTTCGCGTAGAGAGCGACGGCCTTCGCGGGCCTGCCCTTCGTCCTCCGCCCAACGGCAGTACCGTAGGTGTAGGCGGGCTGACTGAGAGTCGAGAGGCGCCTGACTTCCTCTTCGGCGGTGGTCTTTGCCGCGGTGATGTCGCGCACGTCCTGTTCGAGAGTAGCATTGCGAGACGTCAGAGAGTCGACCTTGGCAGATTCTTGCGCTTTGTGGTCACGGAGTCGACTTCGGCCTCGAGCTTGTTGTGCTGCCCAGCCATAGTCGCCAGAGCGGCCTTGAGCTCGTTGATCGACGCGTCTGCCTCCTGGTGCACATCTTTGGTATGGTGCCGTGCAATAGACTTCTGGTGGTTCAGTTCCTGGACGTACATGCGCGGGGTCCACCGGATGTCAGAGCTGTTGGAAGAGGGAGCCTTGTGCACGAGCTGCGGCTTGACTACTGGGTATGTACGAGGCTGCTGCGGGGTGTTCTTCATGGTCTCAGAATCCAGTTCGAGCCTGAGACGCAGGGCGAGCTTCTGGTAATCTTCGATGTTTCGAATTCTGAGCCGGGCAATCGTGGCTACCCTGACGGAAGCAGGCCTAGGAAAGTTGGTCTGGCGGTGACATTGAGGATGACTGTCGGCAACCCATTCCTAAATGGGCGAGGTTACGAGAAACTCAATGCACACAGACTCGGCGACAGACCTTGACAAGCTCTCTCTCGAACCGGGAGAATCGATTACCAAACCCGAGGAGCTGCGCGTAGACATTGAGGAGACCGAAGAAGACCGCCACAGGGCCAAAGTGAACTATCGCCCAGAGCAGGATGCCGTTGGACATGTACCGAGCCTCGAACACGACCAGATGTGCAAGAGGCGCGAGGAAGTCGAAATATTCCCCACGGGCCAGGTAGATGTAGAGTTTGATGAGCAGTGTGAGCGTGAAGCGGAAGTACCGTTGGTTCGACATGACTGGGACTACTGAAGGCCTTCAAAGTTCACGGATTTGATGAGAGTACGAGGAGAAGAGACGAGAGGGGATGGCAGCGTAGAGATAGGGCTGTTAGCTTGTCGGCTTTTATGGTCTGCAACGGAGACTAGGTGGCTGTGAGGCTGACGACACCGTCGGCACCAACACGTTGCAGCATTGATCTGGACAGTCAACTTGGTCCAAGCTGTTCAAGATCGGAATCATTGACTTTGGCCGACATCGGGAGCAGTAGGATGCATGAGTTTTTACTCGTCAACTGACGGCCTGTCTGAACGAGTGGGCAGCGTGAATGAATACAGCGTATGAGTACAAGTAGCTACCGAGTTCGAGCTTCCATGGTCTCTCAGCATATGTATACGCACCTGCAGTGGCACATACATATCGTTGCCGCGTTCCATGCCAACCAGATCGATGCATTCGATGCATATGGCACCGTCCAGGTATCTCAGATCGCAGATTCAGGGAGATAGCGCACGGGTAGCAACCCCGAACAACGAGAAGCATAACGAACTGAGTACTCACATGCCAGTCCACTCGGCCTGCCGTCCTGAAAGCATGGGGAGGGTAACGTAGGAAGCCACACGGCACACGTGGCACCAGACTCATCGCAACCTTTCCTCCCCTTCCAAGTACATGAGAAATGTGCGCGAGCTTTGGCCTGAGCACTCACAAAAAATGACCGAGCACAGAGACGTTCGTTCGGAGGGAGTGCTATGTGCGGAAGAAGTGCAGGACATCTACCGTGGGGTGAGGTCCCATGATTACGCAAATCCTATACATTGATAAGTTCTCGGACGGTGAAATGGGTGTGCGCAAGTACTTGACTCACTATTAGGAAGTGACCGTGTACAAGCAAGTACTGGCACTGGCAGTTACCCCGACTCGTCACTCAAATACTCAAGAGTCGTATGCCAGCCAGCTCATTGTGACCACTGGTGGCACGTGATCGCGTTCTCGCAGCCTGACGCGCGTCGCGCGTCGCGCTCGGGCCCAGGGTCGTCGCTTGTATTCGTCTTCTCCTCGCTGTCCCGCGTCTCCTGCCAAGTGAACCTGGGCTTCCCGCTAGATCTACGTTTTATTGTGTTGTCGCAGTCATGCCTCACAATTGGACATCACAGATGCGGCTGTCCAATAATCGACCACGCATACCCCACCGAGCCTATGGTCTGCGTCGCACGCGCACGACAAGCAGCTATGGATCATACTGCCAGCCGGCTGAAGACGACCGCGTACAACTAATCTACCAATGTCGGCGCAGGAATGGATGCGCCCCTTGCGGGCTCATCTCCAGCACTCGTGCGCGGCTGGTAAATCTCACGACTACAACATAAGCCCGACGCATGGATTCAAATCGTAATCACGACCAGGCCAGGACAGGAATGAGTAGTCATCAACGGACGCAGGTGGAGGTATACTGGTGCGGGAAAAAAGGCCGGATGCTCATTGCTTGTGAGTGTGAACAAATGCTAGGCCACAAGACTTTTTCTAACAGCCTGTACTCGGACGTGCGTGACCGCATCTTCTGTCGTGGCGATTAGCTACACAGTCCAGCAGAAGTGATAGCAGTCACTCACTTGGTCCGCTTCGTCTCATTGAGCATAGCTCGGAGGTCGATTGTTTCGAGCTTCCTCTTCTGGCCGGTTGGTTGCGCCTGACTGTTGGTTGCTATCGGGGCCTTGGGAGGGGTAGGTGAGGTAGCACGATGCACCTTGCCTCGCGGCGAACTCTCAGCATGCTGTGGCGTCTCGGTCAGAGCGATGCGGTCCTTGTTCGCGTTGACCGGTTCCTGCTTCGCTCTGTCAGCATCGGTAACGATGTGTATGGGCTCTCGGAGCAGTGCGGCCCAGATATCGCTGCCTTCGGACTTCAGTGCGAGGCGTTGACGATCGTCGCACGAAGCATCCTGCGCAGTCTTCAGATGTAGACTCGCCTCGCCCATCCGAGTATCAAGTTGGGGGGTCTCGATGATGCGCGGCTCGGCGTAGTGGTTGGTTGCTGCTTCTTCCTCATTCCCAACGCTGTCTCCTAACATCGACCTTCTTAAACGTTTCATATCTGCCCTTAGGTCTTTGCTAGTAGGAGCGTCCGCCCGCCGCGCGCTGGCCATGTCGTCGAGCACAGGGTGCGCCGCACCTGTCCTACTTCCCGTCTGCGTGCCACTCTGGCGTCGGGAGACCGATGCACCGCTTGGCTCGATAGCGATATTGCTTCGACGGCGTAAGACATACGCATCAAGAGTGTCGATGAATGGTGAGCCTTTGATCTCGCCCGCGAGATCATCTGCGCCTGCCTTTCCGCTACTCATCCTTGGGACAGTGAGCATCGTGTACGTCGCAAAGAGTCTCACGACTTACATCCACCTCCGTGGTTTCCCGTTTGGGCCGACACAACCGATATAGAGGAACACTTCACAGTCGGATTTGTCTGCCCACGCCTCGAGCGAGAAGCGCGCGTTGTGTTCCAGGCGCATTCCTATGCTGCTAAGTTCAGATATCGGCCGCCACTGCGCAAGGGAACAAAACACTCACTCGGCCTGAGACGCGGCCGCTTCGTCGCTGGCCTCACCCTGGGACCGGTATTCACTGGGATTTTGCTCGTTCGGAGGCTGGCCATCCACATGGACGGCGCGAGCAGCCCGCATCTCGACCTTGGACTGCTGCGACTCTCGTTCGTATGCCTCCCATCTCTCTGGATCTTGCGTCTTCATCTCGGCGATGGCGGCGCTGTAGGCGTGATTCACTGCTATGGCCTTGTGGCTGGGCGTATCGCCATTAGCGAATGCCTCCGCTCTCGCCTCCCTTCCGATGTGCGGATGGTCCCGAATGAAGAAGTCGCGAGCACTCTTTGCGCGCTCTCGCGACTCCTTGAGGGGAAGGCTGGGTTCGCGTGCCTCTGAGGTCTGCAACCGCTGCATCAGGAAGTAGTCTTTGTGGTTTTCGATCCATGTGACGATTTTCTGATGAAGGTCGTAGGCTTCCTGGACGCAATGTACACAATGGATAATCACCTTGGGTCTATCCCGGCACCGCTCTCTGCGCTCTTCGCTCGTTTCATAGCGCACGAACTTGCCGTTCTTGGTGATGATCCCGAGCACTGACGGGTCGAACCGGCTTTCGAACCCTTGCGCGACTTCCTTAGCGATCTTCTTGAAGCATGCGTCGCGGCTGGCTGTCCTCAACGCTCTAGCCAGAGAGTCGACAAGCCAAGTGTGCTGGTCAATTCCCCGTCCGGGATCGACAATGCAAGTCCGGCAGGCGGGGGCCATCGATGTCTGTGTGTTCAGTGTTGTGGAGGACGATGAAGGTTAGGGGACGTCCTGTATTGAAGGGACCTGATGTCGATATATCATGCCTTGTGCCACTGCGTTTGTCTTTGCGATGCCAGGAACAAGACGTCCGATGCACACAATAGCACATGGGGCCTAGATCATTTACTCAGCTTGAACTGTTGGTCAAAGCACAAGCACCCCCGCCGGGTGGCATCGCAGGCCCTCCGGCGGAATAATAGATGGACTACCTGGTCCGTATGGTCTGCTGTATGTGCTCGGCCTCCGCTATGCGCTTCAATAAGCACAACACCGAAGAGGGCTCTTACGCATTTGAGCTCACAAAATTGCTGAATCGACTGTAAGTTCTGATAGAGCCTTGTTATTGACGATGTGACTCCTATTACTTACTTGTATGTCACGAGTCACGCTTACGCCTTGCTTGTGGCGTCTCGACCGCCGTCTTGCTATTTACTGCGAGTAGTCTGCGAGTTCTATTCGGCACACTCCTTTAGATCTCACGCTACTCCGCATACAATACCCAATGCCTCAACCTTTGCCAACGAATAATTACGTATTCCAACCATGGCAGGACGCGTATGCCAAATGCCTCCATCATGAACAGGTCGGCAATACAATTGGCGACGCCACCGCCCTCGTACGCGCGAGAATCCTGGGCTACGCTATGCTCGAAACTCCCAGTGATACAGGTCGCGACTTCCTTGCCCGCGAAATCAACTCATGTGATGATGACGATGAATTTGAACGTCTGGCGACACTATACATCACTCATTTCCTCCGTTGCTGTGAGTACCCCTATGTGCTACTCGGTGTAGAAGGCAGATGGTGAAACGTACATACTGTGCCACAGTTCGAGCTGCTACAGGCCGTACTCGATCCCCATCCACTCACCCTTCGAGGCCCTCGTTCGATGCCACGCAGGAAACTCTGCAATATCTTCTGGAAGAGGCGCCCCAGAATCATGCAACAGCAAAACAGAAGGTTTTGTGTACACTCATTACCGCCCACAATATCGCTTTCTCACCTGCATTTATCATCAGGCCCTCATACGGGATGGTTACCGATGTATGCTCACTGGTGCATTTGACATCGTCTCTGTGAAAGAGAAGCCCCATATCCTCCCGGCCGATGCTCCAGTTACGTTCACCCAGGCAGCCCACATCTTCCCTGAATCCACAAACGTTGGGATGTCGGGTGTCAACCAAGATGGGGCGAAGGTATGCGTTCATATCTAATTGCTGGCCTGGAGTTACGAATCACATATTCTTAGCACGAATATGCAGCTACCGTATGGACTGTCATGGCGCGCTTCGGAGACACTTTTGTGTTCGATGAACTGAATGGACCTAACGTTCATCGGCTGGAGAACGTGATGACACTCCGCGGCGACGAGCATACTCACTTTGAAATGCTCAACTTGTGGCTTGAAAGCACTGTGAGTACCTACCAATCGATCTCTCTGCCGACGAGCCCGCAAATAATGATGTTGCTTAGAACACGCCGCACACATACACACCCCAAACTACGCACCCAATGTATCGGTGGAACATACCGACGACAGTCACTTTCACGACCCCGGACCCCGAGAAGCTTCCACTACCGTCTCCAGATTACTTGCGCCTCCATGCGGCTGCGGCTCGCGTGGCGCATTTGTCGGGCGCGGGGGAGTACATTACTGAAATACTGAGGGATATGGAAAAGACCAGGGTGCTATCAAACGACGGCTCTTCTGCACTTCTATTGACGGCGGCGTTGGAAGGTATCTCGGTTCACTGATGATGTCTCATTACTTTACGACCTTGCGATCTTACTTAGCTTTCCAGTGAACCGTCGGTCAAAGCGCTAGCGCCTCCGCCGAGTGGCACCATAGGCTCTCCGGCGGAGTAATCGAGTGACTATCTTGTCCTTCAATATGGCCTGCCGCACAATGATGGTCTTGACGACAAATTTCTCGACCTCCGAGTCCGCTGCAGAGCGTCGCTCAGTCGGGAGGCGCCTGTGAGGACCGCAGCCACAACTCACGTGCCCCAACCACGGTCACGGTCGAGCACCAAACGAGCACCGAGCAGAGTTACATTGCTAGTACTACCGCTTCTCACTTTCCAATGGCGAGTCGTTCTGCTACTTATGCGCTTCACTAAGCACAACGCGAAAGAAGACTTTGACTCACTTGAGCTCACTAAATTGCTGAATGGATGACTAGCATGCTCGATTGAATGGTACCGTCTATAGGGTCGTGACGCGACGGACCGCCGGCGAAGTCAAACGGGTCTAGATGCGTAGGCACCGAGACAACCGGTACCCTATTCGAAAACTGCCAAAGGCCCACCTTGGATAGATAACAGTAAGCAGCAACTTCCTTTTCACCGACTGCTTGCTGGCAAGCCCTCGCAGTACCGCCATCCTCGTATGGTACTAGCCATGAAGCCTTTCGAGTTCATGGCTGGTAGATGTGGTCACAAATACTCGGTTATGGTGTTCAGGCAAGTATGTAATGAATGCCAAGCATGCGAATCATGTTGCCAAGGCTATGCGTCCTCTCTGACCATGTCAACGCCGATTTTCGCTTGCAGACATCATTGAAAGGCCGGTCTATCGCCTTTCACCTATCTTTGGATTTCTAGACATGTTTGATGTCATGACATCACAGGTTCACTCTCAGTACTGAGCGTCATTATAGAGATGGTGGTTCCATTGTCTTGATACGGCACGGCGATCAAGCTATCTGTAGTACTTGGTTCGCAGAACATCATCTGGTATGTGAACAATCACGAACAGTACCTTACACACGTTGACGATAATGCAGGCTCTCCGCAGCTAACCAAGTTCTTTCTCCCACGGATGTCAACCATGCTCAGGAGATCCGGGCGAAGTCGCGCGACTGGCTTCCATGACTTTCACGCAATACAGTTGCGTGTATTCTCCTTCGGAGAAAGTACCAAACTCTAGTTTACTATCACATCCTCCCAGACTCGTACTAATCTCACGGGGGATATAAAAGTTATGCCACGTCTCGCATCCCGGCTTTCATGGTGGCTAACATCGTGTCATTGTTCCAGTCTATGCCATCTAACACCTGGGTGGTGGTCGCTGTAGTATGCTTACTTGTCTTTTTACTCGGTCGTAGCCCGCGGCAAAGCCTGAAAGACCGTCTTGTTCCACCCGGACCGAGACGTCTCCCGCTTCTGGGCAATGCACATCAATTACCATTGGAGTATCAAGAGTATACCTTTGGGACATGGGCGAAGAAATACGGTGGGTTCGTGTAATTGATGATCCATCTATATCACCTAAAGCATACGTTCTAGGCGATCTCATATATGCCGAGTTCTTTGGTAGCCGCACCATCATCATTAACTCGTCTAAGATCGCCCGGGACCTCTTGGACAAGCGGGGTGCTATCTATTCCAGCCGTCCGCGACTGGTGACCTTTGTCGAGCTGTGAGTTTGACGCATAATACAGGCTACGTGCGCGCGCTGATGACAGTAGGATCGGCTGGGATCCCACTTTGGTCTTTGCACTGTACCAGCATGAGAGCCGGCGGAGGCAGCGGCGGTGGGTACAGGCCGCGTTCGGCGAGAAAGATACAATCCGACAGTATGAAGGCCTACAACACAGGGAGGTTTGTATCTTCCTGTCGAGTTTGATACAAACACCTAAGGACTTCACCATGCACATCACTCGGTACGTAACAATGTTTATATTCTGTCGACTAAAATCAATAACTATATATTAAATCAGGTTTACCGTTGCGCTGATCCTTGGATCCGTCTACGGCCACCGAATCACGTCCTTGGAAGATGAATACGTGACGCTGATGGATCGTGGCATGGAGGCGACAAGTGCCACAGGTCCTGCCGGAGGAGGGATGGTAGATTACTTCCCACTCTGTGCCATGAATGGTCCTTGCTCTCGAACTTGGTGCTATAGCGGAAACAGTCACAGGGCTTCGCCACCATATTCCTTGGTATGGCCTAGCCCATGGACGTCAAATGCCCATGGACACACGTCACAGGACTTCCATACTTCTCGTGGGATGCGTGTATTTCCGTACACGCTGTCACAGCTTACTTACAGCAACACGGCTCCCGGCACTCGCTAGTGAGTGTATAGTATCAATGAGGGGACCCTTATAACTCAACCTGCGCACTAGTGTCTGACAACCGTGTCACCGACATTAGCCTCCTGTGTCTGGATGATCGCGTCCCCTTTGCTGTATGTCCGTATCAAAAGGAGAACGACATCATCTATTCAGCGGGAACTAAGCATATACAGTGTTAAGCTGATAAGGTCACGCACCTGCTATTACCAATATTTTGACTCTCTTCCTGCATTCACTGATCTCCATGGATACTCAAACTTTCAGTCAGATGTACGGAAGTTACGGCCGTCGTGACTCGTCTAAGGCGCGACGCGTTAGCATCATGTGACCGTGTCACGTTGGGCGCATCGAGACAATGCTTTGGTACGGCCATTTCCAGGCATCGCAAAAAACTACCCTCTGAAGGTTCCACGGGACTGCGAAGCAGCATAGCTAGATGAGTATCTCCACCCGTGCCTCCGATGTCCGACTACAATTGCGAAGTGCCCATCTTACGGTGAATTCTACAGCTTCCGTTCAGTATGCCAGTGTCCCACCAAGTGTCCCACCAAGCCAGGCTCTGTTCGTAGTCGGAACCGCTTAGTATAGTCATTGATACCACTACACATCCAAGAATCAGATTAGGTTACTCGGTGCGCAGGGCTAGCCTGCGTCGTCACGGTCAGCAGAGTACACTCTGTCGACACAATCAACATTGTGCTCGCGCCGATAAATGCGGAACTCACATAGTGTAAATGGCAACGAACTCATTGTTGTGTCGCCAAATTCTATACCCCACGTTCATACTCGTCGCCACCGAACTTAAACACTGCCGGCAGGTCGTCCTTCGGGCTATATTCGTCGTGATACTTTGAGGTCCACCCGCAGTCCGCGGGCGTGTCGAGATCGGGAGACATCTCGTCAAGCTCAAGTACTACACTGGACAGGTATGATCCTCGGCAGGATTGCAAGCCGCACAGTGATTCAACGGGGGGTATTGAGGGAGAGTTCGAGAGTGTGTGCGCCTGCTGCTCGGCAGCGATTTTGTGTAGGTTCAAGATGAACCTCGAGATGATGATTGAGGTTATTCTATAGAACCGGCTTCAGCTGATAATGTGACGGGTGCTAATACTTCACAGGGACGCACGGGTAAGTGAACGTGATGACCACGTCATTGCACTGTAGAATCTGTCAGTGTCACCCGCGCTACGATGGGGAGTGATACTATGTAGTACGCACAGTCCCCATCAGGAATACCACCATCTGAGCGATGTTGAGCAGTAGCAGAGCCCTGTGCGTGGTGATGTTGAATCACATGCAATACACGGAGCAGAATCAACCCGTACATGAAATATATCAACCCTGTGAGTATGGGTGGGATGTCAGTTGTGGCCTTGATTCGGAGAAGAGACTACGACGTACCATCTTCGGACAAGGACGAAGACAAAGATCTTCTACTCGTTATTCCGCAAATTGAGCTTTTGAGATTGAATGGTATGTTGTATAACGTGACCAATATAACTAGCGTATCGGATGCAATAGAGCACATTCGAGCTATGATCATTACTGTGAAGTGTACTTCTATCAGCCGCCGCATCGAAATCAAGCGAATGTAAGATGTTTTGCACCTTGGATGACGGCAATTATCAAGTCGTCGTCATGAGCAGTTCTCAGAACATTTTGAGCTACACATACCTATTCTGTATTGGTCTCGGTATCGCACTGCTGCATGAGCACACAATGGCGCCTCCGAGGGAAATGGCTTCCACTCTGTCTGCTGCGGTGTCGACCTTGAGCAATAGCATCAAAGCTGTTCCGTGAGCTCGACGAGGGAATACTTACTACATTGATAACGAAAGGTACTACACCCAACAACATGGTCGCCGCAGCAAGCCAGCGATTCCGACCACTGACAGCATACACACGAAGTGCCGAAACAGCTTCATAGCGGACCTTGAATCGCAAATCGCTGGGAGAGCGTCCTCACGCACCTGCCCACAATAGCATTGCTATCATCGCACATGTGCTCCACATCAGTTGTCTGAATCTGCAACTGAAGTATATTGCGATGAGACGTCGGATCCTGATGCTTATTACGCATGACGTGCCTCTGGGTAAGGTTTAGTACGCGTGGCGAGTAAACAAGAGAAACACATACTGGTACAGCGTGAATCGTGATATGATTGCAGTGCCCGCATCATCAAGCTGATGCATATCCCCCACGTGTTCGCACGATTCAGAAGGAAAATGAACGCAAATCCACGCTTCTTGCGTCTCCATATATGTTGTACCTCATCGGCGAAAGTGATGATATAGTCATATACGGCGAGAGCTAATTATATTGTTAGCGCATTTAGTGAACGCCAGTAGATTTGAAGCAACCGACCTGCAGCCATAGCTTCGCAGTAGTCACCGACGATACTGTAGTCAAATAATTGAACAGATTTAGCATGAACCTGCATGCACAGTTCGTAGTCGTACCTTGTTCTGAGCTGAGAAGCAATATGCAGGGTAGCTCCACCACAGACGTCCATCACTGCTTGTACTCTTGATACCTACGAGGTTACACTGCAGGAGAACCGACGACAGCCTCATATAAGCCTTGCGAAGTGGCAACTGGTGGGAAGACAGCTGCAGTGTGGTCGTGCGCTGTCGATGACTGTAGGAAATGTGGTCAGTACTATTGAAATGTGCACGGCCACCTGGGGGGGGGGGGGGGGGGGGAAATCCGCTAGTAAGAGATAGCAAATTCCGCCTTATGTACGACACAAATCAGAGATTACGCGTGCATCTTTGGCGAGAGCCCCAGTCCGAGACACTGAATGTCTTACCCATACACGCCGACCGGAGACAGAAGCGCAAGCGTGGCCAGTCCGACACCTCTCAGCCCTTTAAGGTGGCAACCACTGGCAGATGGTAGAGAGATGAATTAAGATTCCTGCGCTTTTGCTCTCACCATTCGATAATTTTCATTCCGCGTCATGCCATGCTGTGCTGACCGCCCGACGATGCCGGCGATACCACCTTCCGTTAACGCCACATCGGATATCTGGGGATACAGTGCGTGAGAATGATGTGAGATTTTAGACAGTACGCAGAACATCAGTAATACATACAAGGTTTACCTGACATGTACGGTGGATGCCAAGAGGGTTGACTCGGAGAACAGCTTGTCTATGAGTTTGCATCCTGAGCATTAGTAATGAATTACCAGCATGGCTTTCGGAGATTGAGGAGCTCTTACACCGGAAGCTTCGGGGGCCGAAAATACGCAGACCGGAGAAAACAACTACTGAGAAGATCGCCAACTCTGGGTCAATATCGCTGTGTGACAGAAGGCCAGGATTTTCCGTGCACTGGTTTCAGATAGCACAGCATGAATGACCAAAGGACGTGATACCGCTGAGGCGAAACACGACTCTACTCACTTCGCCTCTCGGCATTTATTCCCATTTCGCCGGCTGCGGCACTGACAGGGGAACACATTTGCAACAGAATGTGCTTTCAAATACTCTTGTCCCCATGGCTGTTGTACTTCTCCCACCAAGTTCCGTGAGTGGCGCACGATGCATGCTGTCGTAGGGGAAATCAGCATGCGTGGCGTACTGTGGCACCAATCCAATCGTTCGAACGCTCATGAACCTCCAGTGACCCATGTGTACCAGTGTTCCACGCGTCTACTGTCTGCATCATGGGAGCTTTTGAAGCAGTTATATCCTGCGAGGTATGAACACCATTACCACACAGGTGCCACTGGTCCACGCGTCGGACGGTGGTATCGTCTTTCAATCCGTGGGATCTGGATCATGAACTTGAACTCAGTACTCACCAAGCCTCGTACTGAGCCACTAAAGGGCGGCAAAAGGTCAGTCATGCGCAAGTCATGCGCGCAAGATATCGCCGACTCGCTGAATGATGTGCAGAGATCACGTCTAGAAAAATGCAGGATGCAGGATGAGGTCGAG